AAGTACTTTTGAGTATTTCTTTCAAACTCTGTAGGTTCTGACAAGGATAACTAGAATTGCAAAAGGCAAAACACGTAATGCATTTGAATCAACTAAAACAATACAGAATCTTTAGTTATTAAAATATGGTTTGAGATGTATGGTATGACTGCGATTATGTTTATTTATTCAGAGACCGAGTAATTCTCCCTTATTTCTGTTCCTATTGTTTTCTTGAGTGGGAACTACAGAATAATTCTTAATTTGTGTACCTAAAACAAAAAAAGTTACTGTTTCTTGCCCCACAAAAAGGATTCTCACTTTCCATTGCCATGCTTTCTGAAGTAGGAATGAGAATATGATCATTAATCTGTGTAACTTGGGAAGTATTTTCATGGATTGGTTTTTCCATGGGTAGAGGATGACATTCCTATTCTCCCATTTTCGTGAGCCCTCGTCATCTTTTCTTCTCTGCAAGTTTATGGAAAGTTTTATAAGAATTTAAAATGAATTCTCATTCCAATCCTTTGCAAACAATATCCCTTTCAATCTTCTTCAAATCTATTCTAATTATAAAAATAATGTAAAAACACTCATATGTCGTCTTATCTTAAAAATCTTGCATAAAATGGCTCTAGTTAGCATATGGAGGAAGACAATGAGGGAATGGAGTAGACAGTGACTGGTGAGTTGAGAGGCTTATGGACTATTGCCTCTACTCCAGAATTGAATTTTTTATTTCCTTAAAAGGAGTACACCAAAAGAGCCAAAGAAATTTAAATGAAGCCACAAAGTTGAATAAAAATCTAAAGAGGGGCCTTCAAATGTTCAAACATCTAAAATGCAGGGTTCCTGAATTACTTGGTTCAATTCTATTTGAAACACTATACTTCCTTAAATCTATGATTTTAAAATCTTGGATGCTGGAATCTACTGAATGCATCTAGACCTTATTTGATCTGATCTTACTATAGCTTCATTCAAAATTTCATTTGGTTTTTCTGATTGTGGCAGGTAGTAACCTTTTGGGAAGGAGAGATTGTAGATGGCAAGAATTATAATTTCTTCACTGGAAAATGGCAAGCAGCGTATGTAACTAATGTATAAATTAATAAGAATCACCAAGCTTGTTTGAATACTGTTCCAAAACAAACTTATTACTGTCATGGACTTTGATCTCAGTATGAACATCAAAATTTAAACCTATTTACTTAAATGTTTTACCATTTTCCAGACCAGAAGATGATATTAGGCACTGGACCAAATTTCCTTCATTTTGTCCTCTGATGGTGAGGACCCCATAGTCAGTTCATCCTTTCATCAGTACTTTTAGCTCCATAGGAAATGGTTTATTTACTTTACCTTTTTAAAATATCTGTTCCAGAACCAGGTGGAAGTTGATGGTGGAAAATCTTTGGATCTTAGTAATTATCCATGCATATTTATGGTATTCTGATCTCCCTCACCGTTGCTACTTCAATTACCATAAATGTATTTATCTTCTTTAGACTAAGAAACATGGTTTCTTTTCGTCTTTGGTGCAGAGATGGAAGGAGCAATACTTTGTGAACGTTGGAACCGATTGCGGGTTAACTATAGCTGGTTTTTATTATGTTTGCTTCTCTTGTAGCGATGGTTCCATCAGTGGCTTCTACTATGACCCTAATAGTAGGTATGAATCCTTTTTATCTGCGCATATTGAACACAACTCGCTGCTTTGGCAGAGTGTTTGACAATTACTGCTTGAAATCTGCAGCCCATTTCAGAAGCTTGAACTTAAATCTACAAACGAGGGACGATCGGGTTTCAGCTTCTCATCGTACGAGTTGCAATGACCTAAATGGGATATCTACACTTATGGTTGGTTTAACTTCTTGCTATATATGAATTCCATGGTTTCCTACTTCAGACCTCCCCATTTAAGATGGGACTTGGGAATTGCTAGATTTCACTTCAAGAGTCTTGGAGGTTTGCCATGAAATTCAATGGGAAAGGTCCCATGTACCTATTAGCGCGAGTTTATTTGCAGGCTAAAGTAACTTAGATCAAACTATTATTTGAATCACGAGTTTTATTTACTTTTGATCAAGGTAATTTGTTCCAAAAAAAATTTATTAGGTTGATTTCTTATCGTTTTGGGTTATGAAATTCTAATTTTTGAAAGATAGAGAGAACAATTTTAATTTAATAATAATAAAAAAAAGTACAAAAGTATAAGTGAACAAGTACACATCCACGGCAATATATTCCAATCAAATCCCTTTAAAGCGATTTAAAGCCATTTCTTATTCAAAAGATTTTGAAAGAGCTCAAACCATAATCTTTTCAGAGCCATTTGCCACAATATCTTTCCAACTCCTTCAGAATATGCTGTTATTCCAAGCATGGTTAAACATTATAATACTAACAAAAAGTAACCCAACCACGATATAATTTCTCTTTTATCTTTAAAAAAAAATAGTCTTCAAACGGGTTGAATTGTATACTTCAATTCCGTTATTCATTCAACGTAAAAATGGTTTCTCGAACCATTTTTTTATCTTTCTTTTGAATTTAACAATCATAATGGGAGACGAACTATATTCATTCAACATAAAAATGGTTTCTCGAACCATTCTTTTTATCTTTCTTTTGAATTTAACAATCATAACGAGAGACGAATTAGTTCGATGTGTTCTATGTATCAAATTAAGAATAGAAAAAGAAAGGTGTGAAAGTTATAATTATCTTAAAAGTGAATAAGATTAATTATTTTTTTTTCTCTACTTTCTTTATTATGTTTTTAATAATAAAAAAAAATGTTTGTATTATATTCTGAAATGACAAATTATTCTCCAACTTCTTTCTTTCAGTTCCCTTTTTCTTTGGTTATTGATATCTTTTACTTGCAATCTTATTGGAGAAGAATAAAAAAAAGACCAAAACAATTAACCCTCTCTGCAGAAGCTTTAACATAAATAATCCCACAAATTAACGACGTTAATATCGTATCCTAAACACATCGAATCACATCCATCATTAAAATGTAATTAAAAAAAAAATTAGAGTTTAAGAATCAAATAGACACTACGAAATTAAAATATTATTGTTGAGAAATCCATATTCTGAACCAAAGCGAATCGCTTGAATTTTGGGTCTTTCCTAACATTACTGGTCAGGATACAGATAGGAACCTTTAGATTGATTGGTCAAGAGAATTCTGGTCTCTTTTTCATCCTTATTTTGTCCATTTTCAATGTTGAAGTACTTTCCAAATCAACTAGATGAATATATTCTCACAAAGAAAGATAGAATAAGTTTCTTCTTCACTTCAAATCCATCCATTCCAATTGTCTTTTTATAAAGAAAAGGTGAAAAAAAACAGATCTTTGAACGAAAACCGAAGAAGAATATACAACAAAAGAAACTGAACATGTTTTAAGATTTCAAACGGTCGAGTTTGAGAGACAAATCCATATCAGAATTGTTGGGAAGAGTGTCCCACAGATACTAATCAAAGAGTTGATTATAAATTTATAAAGAATGCATCTTCATTGGTACGAGATGAGACATTCTGGAAAAGTTCAAAACAAAGCCACGAGAGCTTAGCTCAAATTGGACAATATCGTAGTATTGTGTAGAGTCGTGATTTCCAACAAAATCAATATTATAACGCGAAAATTTGGCATATTTGTGAATGAGGAAAGGGAAAGCCCCATTAAGAAGAAAAGAATATTGCCCTTTATCTGAAAGTGAAAGTGACATAAAAAAGGAGATTGAACTCAGATATATGTATCTTCGTGTGTCCTGCAGCTTCTTTCAAGGTTTCTAGCCATGGCAGCTGTTTCACTTCTGCTCTGCATCCTTCTCTGTTCATCAATTGGTTTCATAAGTACTGATCTCTCCTTATCTTGTCTTGATTCCACGAACTTCAATTTGTAATGTTCTTTTACTTCTTTTTGTGCAGATGGGGAGCAAATCATCATAGTCAACAACTGCAACGAAACCATATGGCCGGGAATTCTCGGCGGAGCCGGGCAGAACACGCTCAAGGACGGCGGATTCTTCCTCGGAAGCGGGCAAGAAGTAGTCATTGACGTGCCGGACAAGTGGTCGGGGAGGATATGGGGCAGACAAGGCTGCAGCTTTGACTCCAACGGCAAGGGCCAATGTGAGACTGGCGACTGCGGTGGGCAGCTACATTGTTACGGGGCTGGCGGCGAGCCGCCAGCCACGTTGGTGGAGATGACATTAGGGTCGTCCTCATCTCCCCTGCATTTCTATGATGTGAGCTTGGTGGATGGGTTCAACTTGCCGGTGTCGATGAAGCCGGTGGGGGGAGGGGTTGGGTGTGGGGTGGCGTCGTGTGAGGTTGATGTGAACATTTGCTGCCCATCGGCGCTGGAAGTGAGGAGGGGGAGCAGGGTTGTTGGGTGCAAGAGCGCCTGCTTGGCTATGCAATCGGCTAAGTATTGCTGCACGGGAGAGTATGCAAATCCCAATTCTTGCAAGCCCACTCTGTTTGCTCATTTGTTTAAGGCCATTTGTCCCAAGGCTTATAGCTATGCTTATGATGATTCTTCGAGTCTTAATCGATGCAGGGCTTCTCGTTATGTCATTACTTTTTGCCCTCCTCAGTTGTTGTAGATGGGTGTTAGTTAGGATTCAGTGTTTTTCGTAGCTTTTAAGGAACTGTGATGAGAAGATGGTTGTTTTAATGGAAAAGAGTACTTTGGGTTGTTTTACAACTGTAAAGTTGCTTGGTTTTGGAGTGGTGGGTTTCCATTGGTTTGTGCGGTCATTTTCTACGATGCCAATTACAGGTCAAAGATTCCTAGTAACTGTGACCGCAAGAACATTTTGATATAAAATGATAAGAAATCACTCCTAGGAAAATAAGATTTAGATTATCTTATTGATCAAATATCTCAAGATATGAACACGATTTGAATCACTCTACAATATCATAACTTAAATATTTTAAATATGCAATCTAAATTACCTTTACTAAGAAAGCTTGACCCTAATGATAAGTATCACTCTTGAATCCTACAACTGTTTTTTGTATATGAAGTTTCACAGTTCTTGATCTTTCTAAACACCCAACGAACCACAAAAGTACAATTCTATGCCAATGAAAATGGTAATAAAAATATCTCTGAGATGGCATAACGGAGGGAATGGAGAGGCCGCTGCCTGTTCGATCTTTTTGACATCCAAAGCCTTGGTCGTTTTCTAAGTATAACCATGGCAATGTTGTAGTCATAGAAAAGGCAGGATCATTGAATTAGTAAATATACAGCCTAAGTTACGAAGTTGAATCCGTTGCAGAACTGGAAGTAACGTCTCGAGTATCAGGTGAAGGTGCAGGACCTAAGCTCAGCAATAAAGGAGTTGATTTCTCTTCAGTTTTAGGACCTGACTCAGCCGCAGGCCTTCCTGACAAGGCTCTCAGCGGAGGCTCGAAATGCTTACTAGCAACATCAGGTGGTGGTGCGTCCTCCTCAGGAAGAGCAACAAGTCCCTTCTCACGGAGAGATAATGGTTCTTTGTAGCAGACGTTCCAGAGTGAGTCAAGAAGCTGCCTTTCTTCCCTAGCCGCCCCGAGATCCTCTGGTGACAGTAAGCTGATTCCCTTCATACGCTCCTCAAGAACTTGTTTTAACTTATCGTCATCATCTTCACCTAATCCTCCTCCCCCATTCTCACCTGTTTTGTCCTTGGCGAGTTCGAGGAGGCCGCATAGAGCAGCTTCCCGTACCTCAGCATCATCACTGGAGGCTAGGTGTAGCATGATGCAAGGAAATCCGAGCTCATTCACTATGTGGCAATCTGAAGTATTTTCACGCAGCAGGTAATGGACCAAGTTCAGGGCTTTCCTGCACAATGGTTCTCTCGATTATAAGTTGTTCGATAAAGAAACAGACAGGATCAATTAAAAAATCCATCCCCAAACAAAGGAAATTACACTGTTTGCATTTTGAGCCTAAGAACTCAATGAATCGAAGTGAAATTGACCATTATTATTATATAAACCCCAAGAGGAAATGGGATTTTCCCGTGATAACTACCTTTGGAATCTCACACTCTCAGAGCCAAGAGCATCTCTCAGGCCTGCATAGCCATTTGCAAGCCGGAATGCAGCAATTCCAGTTTTGTTCTGTCGAATTAAAGCTGCAGAGAAAGTAGTCAAAGAGGAAACCTGAGTTAGAAATATATATGAGAGCCCTTATGCCTAAACAGAGACACAAATTGAACATTTCATCACAAAAAGGAAGGAGTAATCTATGTACTTACAGGATATAGCACCAAGAGCTTTGGTTCTCGCATTGACATCAGGGTCTGAAGTAAAGTTCAAGAGGAGAGACTCTAAACCATTCAATTCCATCACCATTTGTTGACTTCGTGGATTATTCTGTACAATAGTGGCCACAACTTCTGCAGCTTTGGCTCGAATATTTGCATGGGAATTCTTAAGGAATCCAAGAAGAGGAAGCAGCCCACCGATGGAGTGAAGGTCTGCCAAAGCAAATATAACTAATGATTGATATATAAAACTAGGTGTCTAAACCAATGAACCTATGGCAATGAAAATCCCCATAAACAAAAAAAGTATATAAACTAAAAAGATCATACTCAATTGGGTTCAAATTGTAGGTGCTGTTTCCTTTAACAAATGAAAACACATTAAGATTTTCCGTTGAGCATCATAAATACACTCCAAATTGCCCAACTGTTATTTTATACAATGCAATAAAGAGCGTAGTCTACCATTGGCCATGTCAATCGACTCAACATGTTCTTGTAGTTCATCAAGCATATCTGCAAAGATCAGAAAATGAAACAAAATAGTTCAGAAAATGACACGACGAGTAAACAGAACCCCAGCCTGAGTAAACATGAATGGAGAGCTCTGAAAATGAAAATACCTTCAATGTCTTCTGGATTAACTCCTTGAGTTTCCAAGACTTCCTCAGGTGTCTGCATCACCTGAGTTATCTCCTTCATGCGTTTGACAACATCAACACTCTGGGCTTGCATTGCTTCCATAAACCATCGCCGGTCCTCCTCACTGGGAAAAAGACATAATAATTCGACACCATTGCTTAATCAGCTACGCAGCAAACACATTGTCCAAAACAGGTAATCTTCTAGTATGTAAACAGAATCCTAAACCCCGGCCACAAAACATAATCAAAACCAAGATTGATATCTTCAAAATCATCAGCAAGAACTGTAGAATACACGCGTGCTAACACAAATCTAGATTTTGATTGCCAAGATAAAACACTACCATACGACTAATAAACAATAGCATAAAATACTATCACCCTTAATGATTCTAATTACTCTTCGCAAGTAAAACAATCTTTCAACCACATAATAGAACAAAATAGCTCCCAACCAGCTTGTACAACAATAATCCAGCATTACTATTAATGAAAGATCTCAGTCCTCGACTAATCTACAATTATAGCAGCGTAAGAAAGAGATGCAAACCTCAGATTCCGATTAGGGCGAGTTCCATCGGAGTGAGCAAGACTCCATTTGAGCAGCCCATCCCAGTTGGGACCTTCTTTCGACATCGCCGTCCAGTAATTGAAGGAAGCCCTAACTAACACAAAGATGATAGATTAAAATCTCCAATCAAGTACGAAATTCAGAAAATGCTAAGAATCTGAAGGAAGAAACAGGAGGTCTATTTATACAAATGAAACGCGGCAAGAAGATGATTCCAGAACCTTCTGGATAATTCGGTACTGGAATTATATTGGATTATTGAATTTTAATTTACCAAAATGGGCCTTTCAATGACTTTTCCTCTCTTTTTATTTTATATTTATTTATATTGAAAACTTACTAAATTAAAATATAATTTAGTATATTGTGCCTATTTAATTTTTTATTATTATTATTATGCTGATGTAGATTTTTGGTAGAGATGTAAGAGCATTATGGTTTATCTGTATCATAGATTGTTGGATAATTATGATCATAGATTTATAAGGAATACATTTCTATTGATACGACGTCTTTTGGGAAAACTAAAAACAAAGTCATGAGAATTTATGTTCAAAGTAGACAATATTATACTATTGGTGGAGAGTTGTGATTCTTAAATGGTGTATTTTGTTTGAGGTTCGAGGAGTCCAAAGAAATGAGTTGAGCCTCAATTAAGGGGAGATTGTTCGAGGGCTCCATAGGCTTTAAGGGAAGCTCTATGATGTACTTTGTTCGAGAGGAGAATTGTTGAGGATTGTTAGATGAGAGTCCTACATCAACTAATTAATGGAATGATTATGGGTTAGCCACGAGAGTTTATGCTCAAAGCTAAATAGAACATGTTGAATCAAATTTTATTTAATTGAACACGATAAGATGTCTAAGTAAAGTTGAACAGAATTGAAAGTTACTATCTATATCAATAAAGTGTACATTTCAATATCTTAATTCTAAAAACTTCAAAGTTAAGTGTGCAAACACTAAATAAAATTTTAGATAATAATATAAAATAAACTAACAAAAAAAACTATAATATAACATAAATAAATAATGTGACACTTTTTTTCACCATGGAATGCTTCCATTAATTTTATTATAACCCAAAGTAACAAAAATAATATTACAAAAGGGTAGAATTGTCATTTCATATTTATTTCGAGTCTTAATTTGATTTTGAATATTCAATGTGATATACATAATTAAAGCTTAAATAGTACATATTGATATATCACTTTGATTAAAATTGACTTGAACAACACAATTTATTTTAAACATTTTTTAAAATAATAACAATAATATTAATAATAACCAATCATAGTGATGTTATAAAAGTGAAGTTGCCAACTAAAAGCCTCTTCTCCACATCCAAAGATGACCTCGTCGACCTCACGAGCCTTCTCGGCAACGACACCTCATCGCTCTTCCGTGATCGAGCCATTAATCTCTTTGTTCCTGACCTACTTCCGATCAACAATCGAGGATATTAAGAACACCCACTCGACGACGACCCCAGATCAAAAGATTTGCAATTTAATGCCCACATTTTTTCACGCTTAAATTTAATTATTGATTATTCTAATATTCTATTTTAAAATTTTTTAATTTGTGAATAAAAATAGGAGCTATTACAGGTGCTCGAACCCAAGATGTGGTGCAAAGAAGCAAGTGGAAAGGTCCATTGAAGATCCAGAAACTTCCATCATCACCTACGAAGGCATCCACCTTCACTTTGCTAACCCATTATTTCTAATGGGCCAAACCCAATAGGCCCAATATTCAATCAAGAAGCCCAAGACGATTGACCCAGAGCCCAAAGCCCAAAGAAGCCCAGATTTCCTCACTCCCGAAGCAACTGGCCCACAAGGGTTGCTCGAGGATACGGTCCCATGGATGATCCAAAATCCATCATCCAATCAGAACGCTCTATCAAATTCGTCTTCTTGTTCATCCTACCGTTCGCCTCCAACGTCCCCACCATCTCCGTCCACGTGTCCTTCCTACGTGTGATAGACATTTATAGCATATATAAATTAATAAATAGTCGTATTTTATTTTTATATATGTGTAATATTAGTAAACTAAATAATAATAGTAAAATTAGATTAATAAAAAATAAAAAAAATAGCTAATTGATTGAGACATTGGGCTTAAATATTGGGCCCAAAAGTCTTATGGTATTCATCATGCACTTGTGGCTTATTTTCTTAACACACACATCACGCCAACGAATATTACAAGAAGACGCAAATAACCTTTGAAATTGGTTTATTTTTTTCATCTGGCTAAAGCCAAGGCGAGGGTAGAAATGTCAAAAAGGCTGACAACCAAAATAAGGCGGTAACCCGATTTGAGGGAGAAAGCCGGATTCCGCAAGGCTCAATCTTTCGCTACTGCCACTTCTCCTCTGCGAATAATTTCGACATTGAATTCAAGCATTTCTTGATCCTTTCATCTTCGTTTTTCTCCATTTCTTGGATAATCGACGAGTTTCTTCTTCTCGGTGAGTGTCTGTTGAACAAGTTCATGTTACTGTTGCCAAGACCATGATCTTTTCGAGGATCGGAGGTTCTCTGTCTCGCTCTGCACGTTCGAGACTACGAGCTGTAATAACTATACTCGGTCTTTGTTTTTTTTTTTGTTGATTGCTGTTGGTATTTTCTCTTCTGGTTTGATGAAGAGGAAGAAAACCTCTGATGTGCAGAACGAATATTCTGGTTTTTGCAATGGGAGGATTCTGTCGGTGAAGGAATCTTGTCTGGAGGCGAAGCCTTTTGGTACTCCATGTAATTCAAGCCTACATGGTTGCTTAGGGCTTGCGAGGGCTTATTTAACGTCAACTGGGGTTGCAACTTGTAAGCAGCTTGTTTCTAGAAAGCTCTTGGAGAATGTCGATTCTGTTCTTGCTAACCCTAGGATTCGACGCCTGTTCTCTACCCAAGCGCCGAAGAAGCGAAGTGAGTGAAGTGATAATTTCTCTGTTTTGCTCGTCGAGGTTGTGTAGTGCAACTGTTCTTCATCCACTAATCGTTTTTTTTGTTTTCCTTCTAATGTTTTTATTCATGTATGATGAATTAATTTAGACTATGAGAATTACTACCCAAAGGATAAGAAGGAGATTCCAAAAAGACAAGAGCAGAAGACAGAATCTAAAGGTACTGGAGGACCTTGTCATTTGGCCTAGCGTCTGTCCTTTTCCTCCATTTGCATGTTCATGTTGATTGTCTTCTTCACCTCTGTAATTTATCATCTATAAACTAAAGATGTTAAAGAGAAAAATTAGGTGGTGGGGGGGGGGGTGTATAATGTTCATGGAACTACGGAATACTCTTTATTTATGTTCCCTTTAGAGAGGGACAGAGAATGAAGAAAGAAGTCATGGGTTCGAAAGATTTTCATCCTAGCATGTGCATATGTTTCTGTTTTCGAGAGAGAGATTGGTGTAGCTATAGATTTTATTTATTTATCTAGTTGAAGTGTGGCGATATTAGGATTATGTAATTGTACTTCTCAATACTAGATGTAATAGAAAGATGCTTACACCTTTAAGTATATATCATCTGAACTGTAACTCTCTCTTTTCTGCTTTCATTATGTCACTGTAAGTAGTTTTAGTTGATCTTACTGGGACTTATATTTTTTTATGCTTTCTTTGCCAGAAGACTCGAATACTGGTCACGCAGATTCTCAAGAGAACTTTACCAGGCAGTTCCAGAATTTGATCGCTCCTTTAATGTTTGTTGGCTTCATTTTTTCTTCACTTTTTATGGCTCCTCGTGAAGAGAAGCAGGTAACTTTCTAATCCCTATATTAATAACTGAGGCACATGCAAATATTTATTGGTCTAAGTTATCGATGGGTTTAAGGCTTGGCTTACTGCAAATTGATTTCTCTTATCTGTATAACACTCAATTTGTCATTGTGATTGCATTGAATATCTTTCTCTTGTCCATAAATATTTCTCTCCTTATTTTAACTGGTCTTTAAAATGTGGATTATCATTGTTTTGGTGGTTTTTATATTCATACCTCCATAGGTTGGTCTTGTGGTCAAAATGTTAAATTCTAAACCCAAGTGTCTTTGAGATTATAGTCATAGGTTCAACAACGATGATCACCTATTTATGATATTGAGTGAACTCTAGATATTTTGTGACATTGAATTGCAAATTTTAAAGCTTTTAATTTGTATTTAAAACTCAATTTCTTGGAATCTTACATTTATATAGTAATCTAATAATATGTGATTTTATTTTTTTTCTTTAGGATTCAAAAATTATAGTCCAAATGTATTTATTGTACCATTTTTCTAGTTACAAATATAAGAAGTGGTGATTAAATCAAGTTGAAGAGGATCTATTAGACTTTCCATAGAGTTGGAGGTGCAGGAAGATCGAAGTTTCTCCTTTAGGCCCTTTATTTATAATAGTTTACATAGAAGACTCGGTGGAGCTAAAACTGATAATACTGTTGAAACTTTACTGTGGTGGCTTTGAACTTCAATGACATTTGGCAGAAGTTCTAATTAAGTTGTGGATTGGCCTATTGATGTTTGGTTTGTGTCTTGTAAATCCTCCTTATGCATCTTCTGAACTGATCAATTTATTCCACAGATTAGTTTTCAAGAGTTTAGAAATAAACTTCTTGAACCAGGTTTAGTGGATCGTATTGAAGTTGCAAACAGATCTATCGCAAAAGTGTATGTAAGGAGCTTTCCACGTAAGACAGGGCAAACAAAAGATGATGTTCCTCAAGTTCCCGATTATGGAAAGCCAGCTACAGGTAACATTGGCCAATATAAATACTATTTCAACATTGGAAGTGTTGACTTGTTCGAGGAGAAGCTGGAGGAAGCCCAAACTTCTTTGGGGATCGACCCTCGTGATTTTGTTCCAGTTGTCTATGTCTCCCAAGTTAATTGGTACCAGGAATTGATGAGGTTTGCGCCGACAGCTTTGCTTTTGGGAACCCTTTATTTCATGGGGAGAAGGATGCAGGGTGGGTTAGGTGTTGGTGGCCCAGGTGGTAGAGGTGGGCGTGGGATATTCAACATAGGAAAGGCACAGATTACTAAAATGGACAAGAATGCCAAAAATAAGGTCAGGTGCATGATTTTATTTATTTGTTTTCTTGCATCATACTATGAATTCATGATAGCACCACTTTCGTTTATCACTTTACATGGTGAAAGATTTCGGGGGTTTCAGTGATTTAATATGCTTCTGCATTCCTCTTGATGGTTCAGGTTTATTTTAAAGATGTAGCTGGTTGTGATGAGGCAAAGCAAGAAATTATGGAGTTTGTGCACTTCCTTAAGAATCCAAAGAAATACGAGGAGTTAGGAGCAAAAATTCCCAAAGGTGCTCTGCTTGTTGGTCCTCCTGGTACTGGGAAAACACTCCTAGCAAAAGCAACTGCAGGTGAATCTGATGTGCCTTTCCTGTCCATCTCTGGATCAGATTTTATGGAAATGTTCGTGGGGGTTGGGCCATCAAGGGTTAGAAATCTGTTTCAAGAGGCTAGACAATGTGCTCCAAGTATTGTATTTATTGATGAGATAGATGCAATTGGACGAGCAAGAGGGCGAGGGGGCTTTGGTGGAGGGAATGATGAGCGGGAAAGTACTCTTAATCAGTTGCTGGTAGAGATGGATGGGTTTGGAACTACTTCTGGGGTAGTTGTACTTGCTGGTACCAACAGGCCTGATATCCTGGATAAGGCTCTGTTGAGGCCTGGTCGGTTTGATCGTCAGATAACAATTGACAAACCTGACATCAAGGGACGTGACCAAATTTTTATAATTTATCTAAAGAAGTTAAAGCTTGATCAAGAGCCATCGTATTATTCACAGAGACTTGCTGCTCTAACTCCTGGATTTGCCGGTGCAGACATTGCAAATGTTTGCAATGAAGCTGCTCTAATTGCTGCCAGAAACGAAAGTAGAGTGATCACTATGGAGCATTTTGAAGGAGCTATTGACAGAGTCATAGGTGGTCTGGAAAAAAAGAACAAGGTATTATTTTTACTACCCACTACTTGAATCCCACACTCTTCCCTTCTTCTTTTCTCGTTTGATGTGATGAAAGATCAAAATGTCTTTCTTCTGAACAAAACATTAACCCAATCTAAGTATCTCTCTCTTATGCATATATCATCTTTTCCTTTTAGCATCCATTTGCCTCCATACTGACCATCTAATCTAAGATTTAATTTTTCTCTACTTATCCTACGAGATAAATATTGAACCTACGAATTGCTTTGAGAAGTCAAAGTCTGTCTGTCATTTAACATTTAAAAATTGGGAATCATGAAACCTTCGACTTGTCATGCAAATCCAATCAATCTGTTAATTGTGTGCTTGTAGTAGATTGGCTTGTTGTAGATGCTATATTAGTGAGCCGTGGGCTGCTAATAAAGCATATTTGCTTCTTAAGAATGGAAATTAGGTTTCTTTAACCTCATTCATGCTGTTATTTTAATTAGATATCATTTTAATGGTGGATCCTACACCAAAAACTGGTAATAAGATTATGGCAACCCCCTTAGTCTGAGACAGTAGGGTAACTTATTCCTGCTACCTATTCTGTCTCCCACGAGCCACATTGTTCTAGATCCATATAGCAATTTTTTATCTAGCTGATCCATCAAATTGTCGATGTTAAAGGAGAAGGATGCCTTTGCAGACCTCTTGACATCCAACCTTGAATACACCATGAATTGTTTTTCTATGGACTTTGATAGGATTTAGGATCGTTAAAACAAAATATTGAGGCTTAAGTCCCCTCACTGGCAACTGATAAAATTGTAATGACGCAGAAAATATGAAGGATTGAAGGATGCAAACTGTTTGATAAATCTGATCCTTTTTTTTAATGCAACTATAGAATCCTTTTACAGTTGTCTTGTTTGTTTAGGATGTCTGTATGATTCAATTATTAATAATGACCTATCAATACTCTGAGGAGGATTTACTGATCTTCTCTATTGTGAAGATTATTTTTTTTAATCGAAACAATTTTATTGATGTATGATTTACAGAAAGGATGTATAATCTATGGGTAGGTTACTTGAAGCTTTCCCAATCTCTATCGTGAAGAATAGAGGATGCAATTTTCTTGAAGTTCGAAACGAGCTAACCCATATTTTTTCTCTGAACCTAGGTGATAAGCAAGCTTGAACGAAGGACTGTTGCATACCATGAATCGGGTCATGCTGTTGCTGGTTGGTTCTTGGAACATGCAGAGCCCCTGCTTAAAGTTACAATTGTCCCACGTGGTACTGCTGCTCTTGGGTTTGCTCAATATGTTCCCAATGAGAATCTTCTTATGACAAAGGAACAACTCTTTGACGTGACATGCATGACCCTTGGTGGTCGAGCTGCTGAGCAGGTAAGCATTCATATGGCCTCCTGATTACTTCCTTGATACCTAAAGAACTTGTCTTGTAGTTGGCAAACTTGATCAAGCCGTACAGTGATCTATGTTTGTCTTGCACGATTCGTAATTATGAAGGATTCTAATTCTATGTTTTTTTTTTTTTATAAAGTTTGTCTTCGTTCGTAATTTTTTGGCCCTGTGCCAGAACCTTAAAGGTTAAGCATTTTGTTTAGCGCACAAAATTTGTTATTGATGAACATATGTCACATGCTTATGAAATAAACCATCTATTTACCCATAATGCTGATTATATAAATGCGAGTTTATGATGATTCATTTTGCATTCATGATTCTTTTATGAGTTTTGGCAGCATCAATGCAGACATGTCCTGTCGACTCTCTCTTCCTTTCAAACGATGATTTTTTTCGGGCTTTCTAGTGATAGATCGAGTTTTCTCTCTGCTTGTAGGTTCTATTAGGGAAAATATCAACCGGAGCTCAGAATGATCTGGAGAAAGTGACCAAGATGACTTATGCCCAAGTTGCTGTTTATGGTTTCAGTGACAAGGTCGGTCTTCTTTCTTTCCCACAGAGGGATGAGGCGTTCGAGATGTCCAAGCCCTACAGCAGCAAGACTGGTGCAATTATAGACAGTGAAGTTAGAGAATGGGTGACTAAGGCATATGAACACACAATTCAGTTGATAGAGAAGCACAAAGAACACGTAGCTAAGATTGCTGAGATGTTGCTTGAAAAGGAAGTCTTACATCAAGACGACTTGATCCGTGTGTTAGGGGAGCGCCCATTTAAGTCATCTGAACCCACAAATTATGACAGATTCAAACAAGGTTTCAGAGATAAAGCCGATGGAGCTCAAGAGAGAACAGAAAGTGGAAGCGCTGGGAATACATCACAACCAGCCTTGGAAACAGATATAGTACCTACATTATGACACAAAATCGTGTAGCAACGTTAGGATTTGGTTCGTGATCCAAGTGCCTGCAATCTCATCGCCTCGACATCGTTCTTTGTTATTTTTCTTAGTTTTACATAAAGAAAAAAAATAATAAAAGCTTTTGAAGGCTGAGGGGTAAGATCACAGCTGTTTGAACTCACGAGGATTGAGGAGGTGAAATTGGATGTCTCACCTTTGATTAAAAGTGTTTGTTTTTTCCCTGTCTGGAGGTCGCTTTTGGTGAAATTGTGAAGATGCTGTAAATGCAAGTATATCTCCACGAGGCAAGCTTGTATATAAACATCCACCTTGTGTGTTTGCTGCGTTCTCCCAAAAGTTCTCGATAAAATGGTTGTTCTTTTTTTCTTTTCTTCTCTTGATCTTCTTCACATTTTAAATAAATTTGACAATTTCTACTGTTTGTGCCTACCTACAATATTTTATCTAACTTTCATTTGATATTAGTTGACTTTATGGCCTTGAACATACAAATTTATGACGATGAACATACAAAATTGAATTGTTGATATGATAATCTTTCTTCCCTTCTTTCTCCCTTCTTCTCCCTTTGTCTTTTGATGTTGCTCGAGTTCTAAATGTAGAGATGAATGAGCACCTTAATCTAGATATCGAACTTTCAGACAGTGAGGCAACTAGATTTGTTGAAGAACAATTTTAGAACCGAAAAGATCTAAGTAATGTCTTTTTCAAATTAGAAACTACAAAATTAAAATTTAGTTTAAACATGTTTCATAAATATTTTTAATATGCAATGGATTTATCCATCAAAAGTTTTCTTTTATAATAATTATTAAAAATTGATGGTTTTTTTTTTAATAATTTTTTTAATTCAGGAAAGTTCCTTATTTGAGACTAATAGTATACTTTTTGGGCCAAAGTTTCTTATTTGAAACCTTTATGATTCGACTATGAATTTGTTCTAAAAAGCACTTTTAACTAATTCTTTCTCTATTTTTTTTTTAAATAAAATTGTGATTTCTTTTTTTCACGGCCTCAAAGGGAGGTGGATTGTGAGATCCCACTGTTAAAATCGCTCAACAACCCATACTCATCAAGATGAACACAAAGAACAGGAGAGAGAAAATTCAAGAAAAATATTAGCTAAAGATTTTATTGATAACTTTAGGTATGTACCACTGTTAGATGAACACACTCTGTATCCTATTGTCCACTTTGAGCATAAGCTCTCATGACTTTGCTTTGGACAATATAGAGTTTCAATTTACGAAATATAGTTTTCAAAGATTTAACCACATATAATCCACCAAATATATGGGTTATGGGCCAGCACAGGAAAGATTGTTGAGAATTATTGGGAGTGAGTACCACGTTGGTTAATGATTATGGATTTATAAGTGAGGAATACTATCTCTGTTAATACAAGTTCTTTTGGGGAAGCTCAAACCAAAGCCATGAAACTTTATGCTCAAAGTGGACAATATCATACTACGAGTAACTCTTATTTTATTATTTTTTTTTTGTTCCAATAGCTATAGCTACTTCGAGTGCACTTTTATTCTACAACTTTGTTTTCTTAAAAAGGTTGGATTGATTGTATAGTGTGTTTGTTTGGTGGGTCACTTTCATTTTGTAAGTTTGTGAAATAATAGCAATGGCTCCAATAATTGTTAGGAATAGTGATTTTTGTAGCCTAACCCACCTTATCAATTATGGTGAAAGAAGTTTGCAAGTGTTATCATGTGTCAACATTTAGCACTTTCATCTAAATCTTTTCTTCTAAAGTTACCCAAATTTGCTTTTTCATAGTGACAAATATAATGGTAACGTTCGTTCGATTGATACCTATTTTAATTATGTAAGGTGTAATCCTTTCTAATCAAATAAATCAAAATCGATATAGAGAAGACCACCAATACGATGCCTTGCCCCATATGTTTCGGTGCCTAAATCAACTAGGATTTGCATACTTGCACGAATATATTAGGGTTAGACCACATTAGTCCTAGATTGGGCCTTTTGGCACAACGAGCTTGGTTGAGTTCGCATTGTTCGGCTTCAACCCAATAATGGTGCTTACCTTTTTGTTGGGCTCGCTTCTAGGTGGTCTTCGTGGGTATTGCACGTTTTGAGTTTATTTCACTTGAGTTTCTAGAATATAAAAATGTTACGAGATCCTAATATCTAATATTTTGGTCGGTGGTATAAACCTTAAGTGTTCGAGTTCTGCTAATCTTATCTACTAAGTAATATTAAATTTGTTGAAAATATTTAAATTATTGATATCAATTGAATTGTTACAATAGCATAAATTTTTCCACTATCAAACATATAAAGGCCTTCCTGAATTAATGGATAGAATTGCTTCAAAATAAAATGAAACCAATTATTGTTTAAAAGCTTGTGATATAATTGATGCACATTATTATTATTATTTAATGATTATGTTACTCTTTTTAACATAATCATAAAATTTAATGATTACTTCAAATAAATTATTTCCATGCCATTTTTTTAAAACAAAAGTTAATTGAAAAAAAAAAACCATTTGGTGAAGAACTATGCTTTGAAAGTCCCGTTGTCTTTGACAACGTTTCGTTCGTTCATAAGTTTTTCAGTAGTGTCCGTACTTTCAAGGGATACTCATGAGTTAGATTGGGTTGAGTTAAAGACTTTTTTTTAGATTAAATCCAATGGTTCGAATTATAAATTTTTTCAATCCAAATAACGGTGGCTAAACATGTTTATTCAATTCAACACAATTTAATCATAAAAAACTCACAATCAAACTGAATCTATAAAGTTTTTATTTATTTGAACTCAATTCAATCTAAATAAGTTCATAATCCAACTCAAATTATACGAATTGAGTCGAGTTAATCAAGTTTTTCGGATGAATGGTTGTTTAAAAATAGAATTAAAAAAATCCCATCGGGAGGAAATTTACATTAGGAAAAAGAAAACAAAGCTTTTGAAATATGTGGCATCCAATGGCAGAAAAGGGGCAATTTTTTAGGAGTTTGGTGGGTTGAAAAGTATCAAAGTCCAACATGTACAAACGAGGAAACAGCTTGGGTGCTCTCTCCTTTTAACGTCACCCCATACGCCTAAAACTTGATAGCAATGGCTCCAACCTTAAGATCTATGGAGCTCCCAAACAGTCTCCCTTCAATCGAGGTTCGACTCCTTCTCTGTAGTCCTCGGACAAAATACACAGACACTTGAAAATTTTATTGACATGACTAAATTAAATGCATGATTCTGATACCATGTTAGTTGTTGTCCATTTTGAACATGACCCTCAACAAACTTTTGGCTATTTAAACCCTCGAATCCCTCTCTTTCTCCTCCCCTTCCACCTCCTCTAACTCTCTTTCTCCTTCCCCATTACAGTTCTTAGCCACCAAATGCCGACCTTTGATTGCCTTCTTTTTGGTAAGCTCCAGTCGGTATTAAAATCGACTGTGTTTTTCTTCGTTTTACTCTCCATTTTCATAATAGTTGTTGCTAAACCTGCAGATCTGGATGATACTCTGTATCCTGTAAGCTCCGGCTTAGCAGCTGCTTGTAAAAGCAACATTCATGGTGGGTTTTGTTTTTGTGTTTTTTTGTTTGGTTTTTTTTAACGTTGTTCTTGTCAGAATATTGTTCCTTTTCTTCTGCAGGTTATATGGCTGAGAAGCTTGGGATTGAAAACAGCAGAATCCCAGAGCTGAGTAACCTGCTTTACAAGAATTATGGAACATCAATGGCTGGTCTCCGGGTATGTTTTTTTTTTCCTTCTCTCTGTCTCTCTAAGATCCCACTCGGGAAGAGTTTATTCAAATTGCTGTTTCTTTTGGCTTTTGTATTGCAGGCTATTGGTTATGACTTTGACTATGATGAATATCACAGGTATAGCAGCCTCCACTGTCTGTTTTTTGCTTCCATCTAAGCCTATGGCTCGTGTTGATTGATCAATCTGGGTCACTAGATTCTGGGCCGAGTATTGGAATGTTACTAAAGTCTCCATTTAGATCATAAGACCGTTTTTATGAAACCCTTTTATTATGGAATCTAAATTGAAAAATTTAACGTTCTTAAGACTCGAAATGAAGGATGTCATATATAAGGAGGATTTTTCATCCTAATTCTTTTATATTTATAAATAGACTGTGAGATCCCAAATCGGTTAGAGAGGGAACTAAACATTTTTTATAAGAATGTGAAAACCTCTTCCTATCAAACTCGTTTTAGAAACCTTGAGGGGAAGGCTAGAAGGGAAAACACAAAGATGACAATATTTAATATAAGTGAGTTTGGGCTGTTACAAATGATATCAGAGTTAGACATAAGACGATGTGTCAGTGAGGAGGCTGAGCCTCAAAGCGGGGTGGACACCAGGTGGCATGACTGCGAGGAGGCTGGGCCCCGAAGGGGGTGGACATCAGGTAGTGTGCCAGCGAGGACGTTGAGCCCCGGAGGGTGGACATCGGGCGATGTGCCAGCGAGGACGCTGGCCCTGAAGGAGGGTGGACACCAGGCGGTGTGCCAGCTAGGACAGTGGGCCCCGAAGGAGGGTGGATTGGAGATCCCACATCGATTGGAGAGGGACCCAAAGAGGGGTGGATTGGAGGGTCCCACATCGATTAGAGAGGGGAACGAGTGTTATTGAGGACGCTGAGCCTCAAAGAGGGGTGGATTGTGAGACCCCGCGTTGGTTGGAGAGGAACGAAACATTCTTTACAAGGGTAAGAAAACGTCTCTCTAACAAATGCTTTTTAAAAACCTTACGGGGAAGTCTAGAATAAAAGGCTCAAAAAGGATGATATCTGCTAGTGGTAAGCTTGGGCTTTGTTACACCGACAATCTTGTTCTTCATTTCAAACTTACACGAGTTTTTTGGTAAACCCTTCACGAATTTCAAACTATTCGTTGAAAAACTTACCCCAAGTGTTTCTCTTGTATTTGTATTTGTATTTGTTCCCATGGAATATTCAAGAAGTGTATGAGACTAAACCATCCATTATTCCTTAGGACAGGTTTGTTCATGGAAGACTGCCATATGACAACTTAAAACCTGATCCCATTTTGAGAACCCTTCTGCTCAGCCTCCCTTACAGGAAACTTGTAAGTTCTTCACAAAAAAGCACTTCAAATTCTCATCCCTTTTATGTTTTGATCGTTCTCTCAACAGCCCATCTCCATTTTTGTATGAAAAAACAGATCTTTACCAATGCTGACAAAGTTCACACAGCCAAAGTTCTCAACAAACTAGCCTTAGAAGACTGTTTTGAAGGCATTATCTGCTTTGAAACTCTCAATCCCACTAAAAAACGCCCTATTTTAGATGAAAAACAGAGTTCAAGCACTGAAATCTTTGACATAATTGGCCATTTCTCTCAAACAAGCCCTGTAATGGAGCTGCCAAACACTCCCATTGTCTGCAAACCATCAAAAGCTGCCATTGAATGGGCTCTCAAGATAGCTAACATCGATCCTCAAAGAACTGTAAGAACATGGCCTTGGAATTAAGTTTTGGTTAACTTGGCTCTAATTTGCTTGCGTTTTTGAGTTGTTTTTGTGCTGTTTTTCAGCTGTTTTTTGAAGACAGTGTCCGCAACCTTCAAGCAGGCAAGCGACTTGGGCTTCAAACTGTGCTGGTAAGTTACTGGACCTTTTAAGAACAAAATTGTGAGATCTTACGTCGGTTTGGAAGGAGAATGAAACATTCTTTATAAGGGTGTGGAAACTTCTCTTCTAGTAGACACATTTTAAAAACTTTGAGGGGAAGCCCGAAGGGGAAAACTCAAAGAAGACAATATCTACTTGGTAGGTTTGGGCCGTTACAAATGGTATCAGAGCAAGACATCGAGTGATGTAGAGGCTAGGCCCTAAAGGGGTGGACAGCCACCCCAAAGGGAGGATGGATTGGGGGGTCCCACATCGATTGGAGTAGGGAACGAGTGCCAGCGACGACACTGAGCCCTGAAGGAGGGTGGATTGTGAGATCCCACATCGGTTTGGGAGAAGAAGGAAACATTTTTTATAAGGGTGTGGAAACCTCTCCGTAGCAAACATGTTTTAAAAACCTTGAGTGGAAGCTCAAATGGAAAGGTTAAAGAGGACAATATCTATCAATAGTGGGCTTGTGCCGTTACAAAAGTCGTTAATTTCTAAACTTCTGCTGCTAATTTTTGTGTAGGTTGGGACTTCCCAAAGAAGTAAAGGAGCAGATTATGCAGTCGAAAGCATTCACAACATAAAGGAAGCAATTCCAGAGCTTTGTGAAGTTGAAATGAAATCAGAACTCAATTACTCAGCCAACAATAATGTAGCTGTGGGTGTGGAGACCTCCGTGACAGCTTAGAAATCAAGGCCTTGTTTGGGTTGAATGTTAAATTTGTAATCTATGTCAAAAGTTTAATAAAATTGCTGTTCAGTCCTCAACCCTCGTCTCGCTAATTTTCCGTCTTCGATAGTGATCTCACTTTCAAAAAGGGATCTCAACTTATGAACCGAACACGTAGCTCTATAGTTGAACTAGTTACTATCTATGGGTTTCATGATTTTGTCTTTGGTAGTAATCTCGCTCTCGAAAGGGGTCTCCACGTGTGAATTGAACACATAACTCTATAGTTGAACTAGTCACTAAATACGGGTTTCATGATTTTACGTCCTTGGTACTTATTTCACTTTTGAAAGGGGGTCTTAACCGGAACATGTAGCTCTATAGCTGAACTAATCACTAACTATGAGTTTCATGATTTTCCGTCTTTAATAGTGATTTCACTTTCGAAAGGGGGTTTCGACGTGTAAATTGAATACGTAACTCTATAGCTAAACTAGTCACTAACTATAGGTTTCCTGATTTTTCACTTTCAAAAGGGGTCTTGACGTGTAAATCGAACTCATACCTCTATAGCTGAACTAGTCACTACATGCGAGTTTCCTGATTTTCCGTCTATGGCAGTGATCTCACTTTCAAAAGGGGTCTCGCGTGTAAATCGAACTCATAACTCTATAGCTAAATTAAGTCACTAACTATAGGTTTCCTCATTGAGTGTAGTTTATAATATTTTAAATTATTTAAAATTTATGAATTGAGCCAAGATGAAATCAAAATTTTATCATTAGCATAAATTTAAATTAATATTAATAAATAAAATAATATTTAAAAGTTTAAAAAATTAAAGATTTTAAAAATTAAAAATAATAAATAAACCACACGTGCCTCTATCTTTCTGTTGCGCGCGCTGGTTCGGGTAAGGGCCTTTATATGTCACAACCAGAAGCACCCAGATGGAATGAAGCAGTCCATGGCGACGCTAACACGTGTCCCATTAGCCTACTCCATCCCAAGCCCGAAGTCTACCCTTTCTACACCACCGCCCTTTCATCAATGTCATAATTGTTGTTCCCTACCCAATTCCAATTCAATCTCGTTTCTCTCACTTCAAATCGTTACCTCCTCCATTTCTCCGACCTCCCAGAAGAGTTTCAGAAGGCGCTGCCGCGTCGGTGCTCTTTCGCTGGTTGCGATGGCGGATTCTGGTTCTAGAACTGTCCTCGTAACCGGAGCTGGTGGCAGAACCGGTAACTCTGCTCTTTTCTTCGCTTGTTTATTGTTGTTTTGCTTCTGTTCGACTGCTGAGGAAATTGTAGGGCAGTTTAAGGCAGAATTAGTAGTGGGGTTTCGATTTTTTCTTCCGGGTATGGAATTTTATCTTCGTGTCTCTGGAACTGGTTGTTCGATGTCTTCCCTGTTGAGGGTTTAGGTTTTATGTTGATTTGGTTTTTGATTTGGAAAATTGGAGCCACTGACTTAACTTTTTTGCACATGGGACATTGAATATTAGTAGGCAGTGTTGAGGATGGTTGGTAGAGGAGTCCCACATCGGCTAGCTAATTAAGAAGTTGATCATGAGTTTATAAGTAAGGAATGCATCTTCACTAGTACGAGGCTTTTTGGGGAAACTAAAAGCAAAATCATGAGAATTCATGCTCAAAGTGGACAATATCGTACTATTGTGGAGAGTTTGTGGTTTCTGATGTGGTATCAAAGTCATGCCCTTAACTTAGTCATGTCAATAGAATCCTCAAATGTCGAACCAATAAGTTGTGAGTCTCGAAGGTGTAGTCAAAAGTGACTAAAGTATTGAACAAATAGTGTATTTTGTTCAAGGGCTCTAGAGAAGGAGTCAAACCTCAATTAAAGGGAGACGGTTCGAGGGCTCCATAGACCTTTGGAAAGGCTCTATGGTGTACATTGTTCGCATCCTAATATCCTATGGATTAATACATTTCTTAGCTGTTAACTTCTTGTAAAATTTATTCGAGTTCTCTATCTGATTGGTTCGCTTGTACACAAATCCTGCACCTTCGAAATTGGTTTATGGTTTCAGAGCGTGTTTGAAGTGATTTTCTTAGGGCTTAAAAAGGGTTATTTAACATTTTGTATAAGCGCTTAAATTCCTAATAAGGTTTTGTTGGTCCTGTTTGGCAGGTCAACTAGTTTACAAGAAATTGAAGGAGAGGTCAGATCAGTATGTGGCAAGAGGTTTGGTTAGAACTGAAGAGAGCAAGCAGAGTATCGGTGGAGCAGAGGATCTTTTCATTGGTGATATTAGGAATGCAGATACCCTTGGTCCTGCAATTCAAGGCATCGATGCGCTCATTATTCTTACGAGCGCCGTGCCAAAGATGAAGCCAGGGTTTGATCCAACCAAAGGTGGTAGGCCTGAGTTTTACTTTGAAGATGGAGCATATCCTGAACAGGTACCTCAACAGTCTCTTCTTTTCTTTTCTTTTCTTTTCTTTATTGCACAACTCATTATGTATTTCTATGAGATCACACATTGGCGAGAAAGGAGAACAAAGCATTTCTTATAAGGGTGTAGAAATCTCTTTATAGTAGACGCGTTTTAAAACCTTGAGGAGCCCAAAGAGGACAATATTTGCTAACGGTAGGCTTGAGCCATTACTAATGGTATAGAGTTAAACACTAGGTGGTGTGCCAACGAGGACGCTGGGCCCCAAAGGGGGTGGATTATGAGATTCCACATTGGTTAGAGAGGAGAACGAAACATTTTTTATAAGGGTGTGGAAACTTTTCCCTAGTAGACACATTTTAAAACCTTAAGGACCCCAAAGAGAAAAATATTTGCAAGTGGTGAGCTTGAGCTTGGACTGTTACAATTTCGCTCTCTGATGGACGTTCGCATGTAGGTTGATTGGATTGGCCAAAAGAATCAGATAGATACTGGTGAGTGATCGGATTGCTCTTTTTTTTTTTTGTATCGTTTTCATGAGTTTCAAATGCTGAAATCATATCATGATTCGAAACAGCCAAGGCTGCAGGAGTTAAGCAAATCGTTTTGGTTGGGTCGATGGGAGGAACAAATATCAACCATCCCTTGAACAGTTTGGGAAATGGGAACATATTGGTTAGTATTTTCTTTCCAATTAATTGATCTTCTACTTCTGGTAATCGTGAGAAACAGTTTCTAACTCTTTTCATTATACAAAAGGTTTGGAAAAGGAAGGCCGAGCAGTATTTGGCTGACTCTGGTATTCCTTACACCATCATAAGGTACGTTGTTGATCGAGTTTCATATTCATTGTCACCACAGAGAGTTCTGTACCTTTGCTCAAAACATAACCACTTGAAATTCTCAGAAAAGCTGTTTTTGTGTTCTCATCTGGTTGTAAATATTGTTACTATTTAACTTCACTCAACTTGCTCAAACCTTTATATCCCATACTTCCTAGTTTATTTGGTTTCGGGTTCTAAATGCAAACGTCAAACGACTGTGTTCCTGTTCGATTTAAGCGTTCTTTCTTTATTAATTCCTATCAATTTACCGAATTTGAATATCGTTTCTCAGGGCTGGAGGTCTGCAGGATAAGGACGGTGGGATACGAGAACTGCTAGTAGGGAAGGATGATGAACTTCTTCAGACGGAGACGAGAACCATTGCCAGGGCTGATGTCGCCGAAGTCTGCCTTCAGGTATTTGCCTACATTGTTTATGCTCATTTGAAATTGTTCCAAGGATGACTAAATAAGTTTAAATTTGTATTTAAAACACTATGATTGGATCATTGCTCACCGTCATCACCCATCATCGATGGGCATATCAATGGACTACTGTAAGTTGGCCACTGTATGGAGGGTTCGTCGATGGTGGGCAGTGGGCAGTGGGCAGTGGTCTCTAGCCGTGGAAGGTGATAGTGTGAGGGTATTTTGATCCTTTTGAAGAGATTTCAAGTTAAACATCTAAAAAAATCTATGGAATAGTCTATCATCTTTCCTGTTTAAGCTCGAAACTCTGGAACAGGCACTGCAATTTGAGGAGGCCAAATTCAAGGCGCTCGATCTAGCCTCGAAACCTGAGGGGGTAGGCGCACCGACGACCGATTTCAAGGCCTTGTTCTCTCAAGTGACGACGAGTTTCTGAGTGGGTCATGTTTGTAAGGTCATTCTTTTCTAATGTAACATTGTTGCCCAGAATTGTTTGGCTGTTAATAAACTCTGAACTGTGAGCTTTGAAGAGGGTTGGAAAAGGCTGTTAGGAGCTTACTTTCAACTTGCGGTTGAGCGGCCATTAATCTGCGTATCAGATAAATTGGGCATGAGTAACCTCTTTTTGGTCAGTTTATTAGTTTTCCATTTGATTTCAATGCTAACTAGGACCTATGAGAAGAATTTCATAAATTTTGGAATCCCTAACACATGAAAAAAAAATTAGTTTGGAAGGCACGTGACAATCATGTAAGTAACCACACGAATTCTAGGAATTAGTACTTATTGGGATTGTTCGGTAACATGTAAAACCAATTCCTATGTGGATACATTTAATATGATCTAAGCCTAAAACAATAGGATAAGCACGAGAATAGTCACACTTGTTATTGGTATGACTAAATTATTCTTTTCATGATGTAATTGATTGTTTTTCTATTGATGGTACATAATCGTACTAAAGCAAGAGATGAAAATTTATGTATCTGCACTTCAAGTGCATGATGGATGAAAATTGATTGATTTCCCGTGTAGAGTGTAAGTGGTGGAAATAGAATAAGACTAGGGAGTGAGTGTCAATTTAGCTAGACAATAATCTAAGATGGAACGTCTCTAGTAGTCCAAGCGCATTAGAATCGTGAGAGATGATCAAAGTGATTAAATCTTGAGTATTGATCTTTTACCGTGAGTGAAGGAGAAGAAGGATTTTTCTTGAGTTTTTCTTGAGTCTTGACTTTCGATTTTCGGAGAAAGAACAGAGAAGAGACTGTCAAATAGTTCAACCAACCCGAGTGAAAGAAAGGAGAAGATCAGCCGAGGGGAAAGAGTTTCCATTTACTTTACGCTTGGTAAGTCTATTTGTTTAAACCCGCTTTAAGGGTGTAGCCATAGTGATCCCAATTGAGCCAGACTCGAGGAGTTGGAATCGAAAAAATTGGAGACATGAATCCATGCAAGACCACCAAACTGTACCATGACAACTCTAGTAGACAAAGGTAGTCACCTAGACTAATTCAAGTGGTACAATATCTACGAAACTTCCACTTCTATTTTCAGTTCGATACAATATCGTTGAGTCAGACCATAGGTTGGTTAAGGACGTGTAAGTTGATACTAAGTAGGTTGTCTATCCATTTTATATTAATTTTATGGTTTTTAATCAATTGAACACTGAAAATACTTCTTTTTAACATTTATTTCTATTAAAAGGTGAAAAAAAAATTGTCTAAATATGAAATCATCTCGAAACGACATCGTTTATCTTGAGAAATATAAAGTAAAATCAACCAGAAGCGGCTACGAAGTGCAGTAGCGTCTGCAGAACATTTGGAGGGGACTGACATGGCGGTTCTTCCCACCACAAATTGCCACAAACTCCAAAAACCGATCTTCTTCGCCGGCGGCTGCCAGCAAACGCACCGTTCTGCTGCCGCCTTTAGTATTCGATTTAATGGCCAGAAGCTCCGTCGGCCGCTCATCATAAGCGAAACGCGCGCCACATCGAATTCAAGCGCAAACGAAGACCAAGGTACTCGCCTCTTCTTCCTTCCTTCATGTTTTTATGCAATCGATGTATAGATTATGATGCATTAGGGCATTTGAATCGTTTTCATAGATGGCGAAGTGGACAATCTGGGGGTTAAAGCTGCATTATCCATGCTCAAATTCTACAAACGTAAGTAGAATGGTGTTATTTGTTCGTTTTAGACTCCTAATTCGAAGAATCCTCTTAAATTTCGTTCGGGAATTGAAGGGAATGATAATTGTTGAGTACTGATTCGGAGTGAAATGTGAGCAGGAGAAATCTCGCCGTTATTGCCAAATAGTTGTCGCTATGTACCTACATGTAGTGAGTATTCCATGCAAGCTTACAAGAAATATGGTGTTGCGAAGGGTACTATTTTGACTGCTTGGCGTCTCTGCCGCTGCAATCCCCTTGGTAATGACAGTGCTCTCATTCAACCTTCGGGAACGGAATTTGTCGATGTTTTTTCTTTGATTTTTGATTCTAGGTCATTGCTTCTTTGTAGGTGGATCTGGGTTTGATCCTCCACGATGGTTTGATGAAGAAAGGTTGCCAGAACCAGAAGATTGACAATTTCAAATACTACCTTAGTAATTGGTATGTCCTGATGCAGACCATGAATGATTTTTCAATTTGCTTTCCTGAGATTGCATTTCGGCCCATTTTTCTGTCCTAGTTATGCTCTACCTGAAAGTAATTTTCAGACTACAAATTAGGGAGGGTTTTGATGAGAAAAGGAGTTGCAGGAACCAGGATGATATAGCGTTGTGTTGATTTGAAAATGGTGAAGTTTCCCATTGAAATTGATGTATCTCTTGGATAAACACATTTTGCATTAAGTTGGATAAACAAACAGACAATTCAGGTGTCAAAATAGAGCCCTTTTTTTCCCAAATGACTCTGGATTTAGGTTGGCTAGGTTGGATTTATGAAGAAAGCATGTGCAAACATTCCGACCTTAACATGTTAGACGATTCGATTGAAATAAGTCAAATTCCTGTCTTTGCTTGATGCAAAAAGATTATGATCGGCAATCCTTCCATAATCAATCCGTTTGATCGAATCTTGAAGTACATTACGTATCATTACTGAGAGGTTGAGATTGCCTGTTCTATATGATGTTGACTTCCTTAAAGAATATACGAAAGGAAGATATTGTCCCACTCTTTGCTCGTCTTTTGTTGGTCGTCTATTACACTGCTACTACACCCGATGCAATCTAAAAAACATGGACTCGAATTGCTTAGAGTTTTGAGTTAATTTATGATTCAATATCGTTCTTATGCCTTAACTCGCACATGGTCTCATATATTCTCATAGACAACCCACAAAACTGAAGCCATGTTCGAACTGGATCAAAAGTTTAAGCTATTGGGCTAAATCCATATTTTCTTTCCTCTTTTCTGCCGTTTTGAGAGAGTTTTCTGTTCTGTAATTTAATTTAGTTTAGTTTTCTGCCGCTTTTAAGGTTCTTTCAACCTCACTGCTCAGATTTTTTGTGCAGGTTGTGTTGGCTAATGTGGTTGATCGTTGTGCTGTTGGGGGGGGGGGGG